TACACATTAAAATTATTGTTTTGTGATAAATTCAGAAGCCAAACATTTATAATGTTGTCAAGAGAAAATCAAAAAAACTGTAGTAAATCCATCCTTAAATCACACATTTAAAAAGAAACAGATCTGATTGTTACGTACTGGCACTTTGGTAACCGGTTTCCACTTGTACTAAAGACAGGAGAAGTTATCTAACTGGGAACCAGTCTTTATTTGAAATCCCACATGGGCAAAAGGGGAGGGGGAAGTAACACACAAAACTACAGCAGCTCTGGAGGCCCACAAAAGACTAAACAGTACAGAATGCAAAACCAATACATAACATATCCCTTGTAAACCTCCCACAATGAGACGATCACAAACCACAAACACTTCAACTTTAAAATGTTTTTCCAAAGGAGTGCTTCTAACTCCACAAGAACAAACAAACTAAGGAGAGCGGGTGGACTCCCTCATCTCCCAGACTGAACCCTGGGAATTATTCTATCCGAGATAGCAGGTTATATTGAAGGGCGATGGCTGAGTGGGTTCACCACAATAACCAGGAACAAGGAGCATGAAGCAGCTAATCAATATGTCTTCTCTAAATGAGCTTAGTATGGGTTTCAACCATGCAAGACATTGGGCCAGTCTTTACCAACACAGTCACTGGTGTCCATTTGTGTCCTTTACCATAATTTCAAGTGAGGACCTTGTCACCTGCTGCCAAGATCCTCAGCTTCACTTTCCATCGTTTCTCAGCCTGAGTTCTCTGTTGGCGAAGCACAACGTCTCGTCTTATATGGTTTTAGAAGGTCCAAGCCAGTACAAAGCTGTCTCTTGAACAGCACCATTGCTGGAGACACCTTTATTATGGTGTGCAGTGTGTTTCGATAGGACAAGAGGAAAATGCTGAGACAATGTTAAAAGACTGACTACTCTGAGATAACTTGAGTGTGTTTCAAGGTCTGTACAAATCTTTCAGTTAGCCCATTGATAGCTGGATGATATAGTGCCAATTTAATGTGCTAAATCGCTTTTCCCTCCATGAGTGTCTTAAACTTTACAGACACAAACTGTGAGTCACTCTCACCGATAAGTTGCGGTGGTAACCCAAACGGCTGAAGATAGACCTTAACTCCTCAATAGTTCTCTCGGAAGAGGCGCTTTTCATAACAGTAACCTCAGGCCATTTGTTATGAGCGTCAACCGCCACATATAGTTCTTTAATGGTCCAGTAAAGTCTACATGAATTCTTTGTAGGAATGCACGATATAAACGGTATACGGTAGAAACTATAGAAATTTAGCCTACGATATAGATCTGTCTTCTACCGGCTAACTGCAGTAATGCTGTGTCTGATGTAAAATCAGTTTTCAATTTAATCGTTACTTATTTTTAGTTTAAAACTGTGCGTAAGTGGTGTTCAAGTGTAAAATCAGAGCAGTCAGAGTTAATAGTTATTTTTTTGCGTTAAAAACTGTGCACAAGTGGCATTAAAAGTAATTTCTTCGAGAGCTAAGTAGCAAAGCTACAAGCTAGCTACGGGTGGCTTGCCGTAGTGTGGACGTATTCGGACGCATGTGCAAAACGCTGAGTTCCGTCGAAAGTTGTTGTAGCAATACATATCGTGATATGAATTTTATGCATATCGCACATTTCTAATTCTTTGCCATGGTTCCTCTGGCCAATCCCATGGATGTAATGGGGCCAGCAGTGGAGAACGCTGAACATAAGTTGGCTTTCTCCTCAATTGCCACATCCAGACCAGGCCACCAGAAACACCTCCTTGCAATTGTTTTCATTCTCACTATACCACAGTGTCCAGAGTCAAGTTCATTAGACAATCTGTTTCTTAGAGGTGATGGAATGATAACAATAGGTCCACAGTAAGCATCCAGATTGTAGTGATTATTTGGAGGAAACCAAAAACTATACAAATCTTTGTTAAAAAATTTAACCAGCTTAACAGTCAAAGAGAACAACTAAAATTAAAGGCTTGAGAATAATATATTAATTATTTAAGACCTGAGAACCCAAACTAAATCCCTGTGTGTTTCACTTTACACATTCAACTTTACATTTGTTGCAAATATTGCTATATTTATATTATATTCATGTTTATTATATTTTAAAATTAGGGGTACACCGATTGCAGTTTTCTGGTCGATCTCTGATCACCGATTTCTAAAAAGTCTGACCTGCCGATTCCGATTTTGGCCGATACCGATTTTATTTTATAAGTGACACTGTCAGGCGTTTTAAAGTCACAATGCACCTTCAATTTTCTAATATTATTTTATTGAAAAACATACCCTTGAACAATATCCTAGAAACAATACAAACTTGTTTTAACTGGCCATGTGCTTTGAAATATAAATGAAGTTCAGACAATTGTTGTTAAAACTAAAAAAAATTGGCATAAAACTGGTTTCTCATGCATTTCCCAAAATTTCCCTATTTAAAATCTCACTTTTTTATACACCAAACAGTGAGACCGACAATCTAAAGTCTCCCTTTCTATCATCACATATTTCCTGTGCAGATTCACAAAAAAAATAAATCTATTTTGTATTTATTCATAAAGCTGTTCTCCTTGCTGTGTAAAGATCTTAACTGGAAATATTACAAGGTTGGTGGTCCATGCTGCAAGTCTGTATGAACGGAAACAGAGAATAATGGAGGGACTCCTGATTGAGTGACTCAGTGCAACAAACCTTGTCACTGCTCTCTTGAGTTTTGACAACAGATGGACTAACCGTTTCTGTCATCTGACCCTATTCATTTCTGCAAGGCTCTCTTGTGCTCACTCTACACCAAGCACACCCACTCTACACACAAAATCTAAAGTCATTCAGCTGCACCTTTGAACAAGTATCACATGGTACTGTTAATCAGTCTTTCCTGTTTAGACAGATGCTTTACCTTAAGACAAGGAAATGCAGCTTACATTTTACCAGGTTTGTTTCTGAGGAACTGATAATGCTTATCCCTGCAGGTTTGGCAGGCAGATGCAAATAAAAAATGGTGGATCTCTCAACTAGCTAGTCAAGAAGCATAAACTATTAGCGTCATCCTGGGATCAGGGCCATGCTCGTAACTGAGGTTCATTAATAGCTTCTCGGCTGATTGTGGTCAGAGGAACGATTAGCTTGTTCCACTTACTTACTTAATCTGACAGGATCCAGTAGGTTTGTGCATTCTTATTCCTTGGACTCTGTTTTAGTATTTTACCTCGTTTTATATGGCATCTTGATTTGACTGTGTTTATGTCTTTTATTTGATTTAAATTGCTTTTTGTTGGATTATTGTTGTCTGTGCCTTGTATGTGATCTGTCTAAAAACAGGTCTCTCTTGTAAGAGTCCTGGTGACTCAATAAGATTAACCTGTATAAAAATTCAACCTGTATAAAAAGCTTGAATAAAAACAAGCTTACTCATAATACTTCCAAAATGAAAAACTGCATTTCACTTCACTAAAATGCAATCAACGTGCTGTAAAAGCGGCTTAATTATGAAGACACTAACCTGTATTTTGACATTTTGATTCAGCAATGACTAAATCTCAAGAGAAAAACAACTAAAAGTTCAGTTTTCACTGCATCAATGTATTTCTCAAATACAAAAAGGTAAAATAATTTAAAAAATAGGGATTTGACTGTTTAAAACTTGCTTACAAAACTGTAGTCCAGTTTTTTTCCACTTGGGTGGAGATGTGCACACATCACTGAATCCTTGATGATTGTACTTTCCTAGAAGGCACTGCAGTAAACTTAGCACGAGCTTTGTTGAAACTTGATTATATTTTTACGAGACTTTCATACTTTCCTTTAAGACACGAGGGGCCTCTGCCTCTAAGTCACACATTCACTCCTCCACGAGCAACACAAGGGTTAATACTTCTGCTCCAGACTCGCACACCCAAATGCCTTTCTCTGGTTCTAATGGCTGCTGGCAACTACGGTGACAACTTTGAAGGCAACACATTCCTCCACATGCACAGACCTTTCTGACGAAGTGCTGACCACGCCTAGAGCCAAAGATGTGATGAAGAAAAACTGTGAGGAAAAGAAGTATCATCAGAAGGGCAGGAGTTTAAAGAACAGAAGACTGAGATGGCCTTCTTGAATAGGACAATAATAATAATAATAATAATAAAAATTCTAAAGGAGAAAATTATTCATTTATAATCTTTTTGAGGATTCCCAGTTTCTCAGAGCACGTAAACACACAACCAACTGAACTACAAAGCTAACAAGTGGAAACCACAAACTTACAGTTATAAAAAAAGATTAATTGTAAGATATTATGTAAAATCACAACAGTAAAACAGCCGGGGGGGGGGGGGGGGCATCAAAACAAACTATATCCCAACAACAGCGTACAATGCTTCATAAAGATCTTTGTATAAACACAAAACAGAAAACAGGCCAAAATAGTAATGAATGGAAAAAGCTCAGGCATAATGCTGCAGCTCAAAGATGTTTAGTCATATCTAACTGGCTTATTATTAGTTATTGTAAATGTACATTAGTGGTGTGCTACCATTGAGATTAACCTCACTCAAATTCCAAAAGAAAAGAAGACAAAACGGATACTCAGGAAGTTTGTAAAAACTACATAAAGTCTTAAAACTTATCTAAATTGTTTAAAATTCTACATAAAGTTTTCATTCATTTGAGTTTATTTCTGTGTTGCAGCGTCACTAATGACACACATTGTGTGCTACACAGGGGTAGCTGAACCCCTCATTGCCTCTGATGTGTGTCCCATCGGCGTATGAATGTGATAAATTAGTCTCTTTAGAATGAACTGTTCACATAAGTTTTGTAGAGATGTGGTAGAGTGCTGTATGTGTGTGTGGAGGTAAACGAGGGCACAGACTGTGTTGTGAAGTGCTTTGAGTATCTTGGTTTGATAGAAAGGTGCTATACAAGTACAGTACAGTCCATTGATTTATTGCAATGATGTGAACGCTTGTTGCTGCAGCTCTGGTGTACTGCAGCGCAGCTCCGACGTCTCACCTGAGGGAGTAAGTGTAGCCGGTGTTCTCTGGAGCGCACTGTGGAGGTGTATACGCATGCAGCTGAGAAAAATCCATGGTCATTCTTCTTTGTTTAGACTGAAAAAGTTAGGATGTAAGGCAAAGGGCTCCTTTAGTCACAGCTGGCATGACAAGGAAAAAAACTAACTTCTAAACACACCAACAAAAATAATGCATACACTACTTTGTTCAGTCTGTCTCTTGGAGGTAAAACTGTTGTGCTCAGTTTCTGCCAAGTTAACCAGCACACTGACAACTGACCAAACTCCATTAGATATTCCTGTAAATCACTGACGAACTTCCTGCCTTAGTTAGAGCTACAGAACCCCGTCAGAAAGCGCCTGGTGCAGTCAGAACCTAATGAGAATGTCTGCATTCCTTTTCCTCAGAAACAACAATGCCACTGTGGGCAAATTGGCTGACCTCTTCCTCCATGCTGGCTCTGGCTGATGGAAGACTCGGACATCAGTGAAGAAATCAATGACCTGCCTCTTCTTCTCGGGCGGGAAAACAGAACTCGGTGGCTGAGAGACAGGATGATCCTCTTTTCTGTTCAACAGACTAACCAACAGGACACGGAGTCCTTCAGAAGTGTCTTGAGTCAGCTCAGTGTTATGAAAGCTCTGGGAAACAGCCCAGGGGTGGAGCGAAATCTGAAGTATCGGGCGGGAAGCAACTGTCCTGAGGGTTGAGCCTCTCTGAGCAAACGGTTTTAAGGAGACAGGCTGTGCAAACACCAAACTGCTGTTAAGACTTACAACTTCCCTGTATGACTTACATCTAATACAGCAATCCTGCAATAAATCCTCTTTACTCTTAACAGTTTTGATTTCACTTTATGGTCAAGTTAGAAGAAACAGCTGCAAATCTGGACTTGACAGATGTTTCTATTACAGTATTTTGGTATCAACCATTAAAAAAATCTCATAACAGTCGAACAAAGATAAATACACTTTACATACACAGCTCTTCACTACCTTTAAATTACGCAAAGAGATTAAAAACAGACTATTTGCCTTATGCAAAAATAAATAAATAAATAAATCCACCACCAAAATCCCAGAATATAATCCTTATCAAATGTTCCGTCTCCAAGCCAAAATGGAGGGTTAAAGATAAACAAACACCCAAAGCTATGGGGGAGTGCTTAAATATAGCCAGGATTAGTCTTTCCCCTCCAAATGCCGATTTGTGCAAAAGCTGAATTAAACAACAACCTCCTGCAGGGCAGTAACTGAGCTCATTCATAAAGAGACAAACTGCACAACAACAACCTAAACACTCACATGTAGCAGGCAATACAAAGGCAGCTTTCAGTCAGGACGTGTTGTTTTGCTGCGTCCTTTACGCAAAACGCGTGCGACGTGCCAACAGCTGCGCCTGGACGAGTGCTCCAGACTCGCGCAGTTTAAATTTAAACATATTTACTGTCAGTATAACAACACGCCGAACTCTAGAACAACATGTAGGAGCCCTGCTGCCGTTCTCACGTTGCCCAGGGCTAAATTTGTCGCTGAATGTTTTCAGAAAACTGCGCAGACTTCCAGGCTTCACGCACCGACACGTACCCATATCATCTGCTCCAATACGTGTTTATCTAACATCTCAATACAAACACACACTAATAATGACCCTGAAATAAATAAAACTATACATTTAACGGTCTGTAAGCACGCGGATTGATACAAACAACCAGAAATAATAGCAAGGCCTTTTTGCTTTCGCTGTCAAATTGTCGGTAAAGGAGCGCAGCAAGGACACGTTATATCTAAATATAACCCAGATATTTACAAGAAATAACTTCATCTACAGGATAATCATATTAGGGTGTAAACTTGCCCGCGTGTTTAGAATCCATGCTGTTATTATTATTTAAAATCCAGAGGAATACAAAGGAATAAAATCCGCTCTTTGCGCACGGATCCCGGAGTCTCTTCAACACAGATCCTGCACCTTGTTTCCTGACAAACACCGCAAAGTTTACAAGTAGCTGCTTCAGCTGCAGCACAACAAGCCTGGTTCCAAAATGGCTTCCCATGCGTAACAAAGCCACAAGGATCTCTCCCGAGCTGATCCTCCCACTTCCAGGCCCTCCATTGTCGGACAGCGCGCTCACTTTAAATCAGGAACTGTTCACAGACCTGCTGCACGGACAGCAGATTATATAATCTCAGATTGCATGCATTAAAACTGAGCCTTCTCAGAAGGAATTCATTGAAGGAATGCACGTCGCCCGCCGCCTTTAATGCCAGAGGTTTAAGATCATCTAATGTTGAGAAATAACTGAGTTGTAACAAAACGCTCAGAGTGAATGACTCTCAGCTAAATTTTAGCTCCTTATCTGTAAAACTGACTGAGTTACAGCCATGCATGTTGATTAGCTGTGGGGCGGCCACCTTGGACTGATTGTCTCAAATTGTTGGTACATCCGATGATTATTTCCTGGCAGTTTCATTTAAATTCATTAAGTTGTTCATGAGAGATTTTGCTAACAGACAAACAGAATTTATTCCAGATAGTTATTGACAAAATTCAAAACAATGATCTTGTGCAAAATGTTAGCAATCAAAAATGTGTTGGGGAATTTGTCTCAGCTATTGCCACAGCAAATTTCAAGTAAATATCTGTAAAATCATCCAATCACTAATGCAATATTTTGTTAACAGAGACACACATGCATGAGCAAACATTTTCATGAGATCAGCTCAGTGCCTATTATACTTCATCTTTAATATATCCAGAACATCCTTACATGCAAACACAAACATTTAGACTGCAGAGAGGAGAAATTAAACTAAGATGTTCAACTTTAAAAGTTCAAACAGCAACAACAAAAAATAACTTAAGTGATTTTACACTCCACAAACTGATTTTAGTAAATACACAACAGTAAATGGACTGTACTTATATAGCACCTCTCCATCTAATCAAGGTACTCAAAGCGCTTTACAACACAATCTGTGCCTCGTTTACCTCCACACACATGTTCATACAGCACTCTACTACACCTCTACAAACATAATCTGAATGTGTAGAGAGTAATCGGTGCTTTTAGATCACATTCATACAGCAATGGGACAGACGCACATCAGAGGGGTTTAATGTCTTGCCCAGGGATACTTCAACATGTGATTGCTGGTGGAATAGAACCCCCAACTCTCCCACTGGAGAACAACTGCTCTAACCACTCAGTCACAGCTGTCCCAATGCCCACAATGCTTCTAGTGTTCAGCCAACGTGACACTCGTGTTTTGTCCTGTCCTCCTCTTCAGGTCAACTTGTTTACTTCATAACTGTTTATGTTGGATACAAATGTGACATTGTTGGACTTGTGTCAAATTCTAAAATGATGAAGACAAAAAAAAAAAGAAAAGAATTGCTTTTATTTCTAATTAAATACAGATTAATAACAGAAAACAGCACTCTGAGAAATATTGTGGTGCTCACCTTATAAAAAAATGTTCAATTTAAAAATAATTTCTTTGAACTGAATGCATGACTGAACCAAAAGCTTATTTATAATGTGTTAAACACTCATTTTTGTTTCTTTTTCTTAAAATATTTAGCGTCATTTTTAAACAGAACAAACAAAAAGTGCTCCGATTACAGACAGATAAACGTTAAAACAATGAATAAATAAAAGCATTTGTTTTTAACACAATATTGCTCAAAACATGAAATAAATGCAAGCATTATAGCTGCCAAGAGACCACTCAGGCTGCCAAACCAAACAATCTGCTTAAATGCATAAACTCCAGATCCAAAGAATCCCATTGCTAATGATCTCAAATACTGGCTAATCTTTGGCCTGTCCAAAACAAAAACCTAGAAAAGTATCCAAATAAGTAAAGTGATCCACGGTTTTAGTTAATTAACATCTCAGATCAGACATATATATTAAAAAAGGAGGGAAATGTGATATTCAGTCGTTTGACAAACTAAAAAGGACAGTCTGATATAAAAGTTGCCCTACTTTTTAACCCATAAAGACACCTGTATCATTAAAGAGACATGGCATCTGGAGCAGATGCACTTTGTGTGACGTCTCAACAGCTGCTCAGCATGGAAGTAAATTGTATACAAAGTTATAATAAACATTACATCTTCTTCTGAAACTGGTGTGAGCATCATGGTCATGGCTCCCCCTGCTGGACAGGAAGGTGAAGTAAAAACCATCATCACATGCTTTACCTTACCACGACTCTTAAACTGAAAATATTGTATAAATGAAAATCTCTGAGAAAGAGTAAACATCTGAAACCTTCAGACTGTTTAAAGTTTTAGGTCAACCCTTTATTAGCCTCTCTTGTGGAACAAAGGACACAGGAAACAAGGATAAGAGTGACAGCTCCAGGAGAAAACAGAAGTCTGTTCGCAGTTCAAATGGTCATTTAGCAGCTAACAGCTAGAGCTATGCTCGGTTAATTAGCTTAATACACTGCAGCCGGTCTCTGGGAGTCAGCGCCACTTATGTTGTAGAAAAATGTTTACTAAACGTCCACAAGTCGAACAAAATCCCGCATGTCTCCGCAAAATAACGCCGAACAAACTAGTAAAAGCACAAAGTTTTGAAGACTTTTAGCAAAGACTTTTTGGACTGCTCAAACCATTTGTAATTTAGTAAGAATACAGTAATAATTACTCACGCTCTCGAACGTGGACAGGCCGTACAATTAGCTTGTTGCCCAACAAAAAATCCTGCATGTTAACTATTCAGAAAGGAGAACCCTGTTCGCCTTTCCCGCACACGGTCATATTTTCCGTTGAGAGGCCTACGTCACGCGTTTGTTCTTTATATGGTAAAAATGGCCATATATGGCAACCAGCGAAGGCGCCGCTCGCTCTAAAACTATTGCACAAATATGGAACAGCGCCACCGTGTGGCCACTGACTAAAACATATGTATATATTTAAAAAAAACTGTCAATACAAACAAAACCTAAAGCTAACTCGGAAGATACTTATAATATCATAAATAATATCATGCATTATTTGCTGTAACTCAAATACACATAATGGCTGCAAATAATATTGAAAAGCAAGATTTAAACAATTTTGCCAATAAAAATAATTACATTATCTGTTAAGCATTTATCTAAACCTTTATTATTTCAAGTCTCCAATCAAAGGTGTTTGTCACATTGAAGAAAAGAAGTTGTTCGTCACATTGAAGAAAGGAAAATTTTAAGTTTAATTGTTGTTTGTTTAATTTAATTCCTAATTCAAAGATACAGTAAGGTTAATTAAGTACTTTATAGAATTTGACTAACCTGTATAAATAACTGTTGAACGAAGTAATTTCCCCTAAAGTGTTTCAGCTATTCAATAATCAAGTTAGAATAAATAAAATATTTGAAATTACACTTTAAATGTTATTGTTGCAAAAAGTAAACAGTTTTTTTTTTAAGTTTATACTTTTTTCCTTAATGGTGACCACATGAATCCCCCATGTATTCCCCATGTTTCCCCATGATCCCCCAAACCCTGATTGACAAACTACTCACATTAGGAGTAAGCCCCTCCATTTGCAACTGGGTCCTAGACTTCTTAACAAACAGACCTCAGTCTGTGAGGATCCACAACTTCTCCTCCTCCACCATAACCCTCAGCAATGGTTCTCCTCAGGGCTGTGTGCTGAGCCCTCTTCTGTTCACCCTGCTCACGTATGACTGTGCAGCTACCCATCCAGGCTGTCATATTGCAAAGTTTGCAGACGATACAGTGGTGATGGGATGCATCACAAACAACGATGAGTCCAGCTACAAGCAGGAGGTGCAACACCTGGAGAGCTGGTGCAGGAAGAACAACATTTGCATCAATGTGAAGAAGACGAAGGAGGTGGTTGTGGACTTCAGACGGAACAAACACCCCCCCCCCCCCCCCCAAACATAAGAGGGTCTGCGGTGGAAGTGGTCTTCAGCTACAAGTACTTGGAGGTGCACCTTGACAACCTCAGCTGGGGCAAAAACAACACCAGCCTGATCAAGAAAGCTCATCAGAGACTCAACTTCCTCAGGCGGCTGAGGCAAGCTGGTCTGGGAATCTCAGTCCTCACCTCCTTCTACAGGTGTGCAGTGGAGAGCATCCTGTGCTCCAGCATCAACGTGTGGCATGGAGATTGCACAGCTGCAGAAAGAAAAGCTCTGCTGCGAGTGGTGAAGGCTGCACAGAAGTCTGTTGGAGTCAGTCTCCCCACCATCACAGACATATACACCTCTAGATGCAGGAAGGGGGCCACCTGCATCATGAAGGACCCCACTCACTCAGCATACACACTTTTTGCCCTGCTCCCCTCAGGAAGGAGGTTAAGGACCATTAAGTGTAGAACCACTAGGCTGAGGAACAGCTTCTACCCTGAGGCTGTAAGACTCATGAATCTCTAACTAGAATAATAACTGTGAAAAAAAAATCACATCATGTTGCTGCTGATCTGTTTCATGTTACTGTGTTCATTCGTACTCATCTGCTCACACAGACTCATGTTCGTGCTGCTGTTTGGTGTATTGTTTTTGTGCTACTAGTGCTTAGTGTGTTTTTAGTTAACTTTTTTTTTTCATATCTTAGATCTTATTACTGTTTTTCTTTTACACTTTATACTTTAGTTGGATGTAACTGGGACCCTGTGTGCATATTTTTGTTCCACCTCATGTACCACATGTGATGTGAATGACGATAAAGAACTTTGAAACATTGAATCCTTAAAAACACACACACACACACACAAAAACTAAAGCTAACTCGGAAGATACTTAAAATATTATAACAAATATCGCACCCACACATTATTTGCTGTAAATCAAATACACATAATGGCTACAAATAATATTGAAAAGCAAGATTTAAACAAAAAAGGTTTGTAAGCTCAATCATCCAGGTAGATGACAACAAAAATTGTTAAATCATGTCATATGGACCTGTTTCTTTAAGTGAAGAACCGTTTCGACCCCCATCCAGAGGACTTTGTCAGTCTGCGGCCTGCCAACCAGATCTGTCCCATAGGATAGCTTGAAACACAGCAATGAAGGCTACCTCTTTGTATTTGTGTCTAGTTTTTGTTCTTTAGCTTTTATATTTAAATCCCTCCTGTTT